ACCATTACCTTCTAAATGCTTATTATATAATATTGTTTACTATAAGCCCATGTTTGTTAATCATTAAATGATCCTTACCTTTCATTTTTGGCATTTTCACCCTTATTTTCACATTTCATTGCGCAAAAGGTCATTTTCACTTATTTTCTCAATTAAAAATTATGAAATTACGAATATACCTTCTATTTAAATAAAATAAAAAGAAAAAAAAACTAATTACAACCACAGTCCCATTTTTTTTTAAAAAAATCTCAAATTAATCACAATTAAATTATTAAAAGGATAATTAGTATATAATGTCCCTATTTTTAACCGTTATTACGAAAAAATCCATACCTTTCATTTATTTTTTTTATTTTTTTGTATTTTAACCCTTAATTACACATTTGATTGTGTAAACCATCATTTCTATCCAATTTCTCAATAAAAAGTTGTGAAATGACGAATATACCCTCATAATTTAATTAGGACTCGTTTGCATTTTTTTTAAAAAAAAATTAATAATTTATTAGAGACTTGTTTCCAATTTTTTTAAAAATTTGGGACTATGATTGCAATTAATTTTTTATTTAAATAGGATGGTATATTCGTTATTTCACAACTTTTTATTGAGAAATTGGATGAAAATTGATATAAATGATGGTTTGTGAATCAAATGTGTAATTAAGGGTGAAAATACCAAAAAAACGAAAGGTATGGATGTTTTTCGCAACAACGGTGAAAGATATGGAAATTATGTACTAATTACCTTTTAATAATTTATTTGTGACTTATTTGAATTTTTTTTAAAAATTTGGGAATGTGGTTGCAATTAGTTTTTTTTTTCTTTTTGTTTTATTTGAAAAGATGAGTATATTCGTCATTTCATAATTTTTAATTGAGAAAATAGATGAAAATAATATTTTGCTCAATGAAAGGTGGAAATAAGGTTGAAAATGTCAAAAAAATGAAAGGTAGTAACGTTGTCCACAATAACAATAAAATGTGATAAAGTTAAGTGCTAATTACCCTTTTTCAAATGCCTACAATATAGTAGTGGACGGTCGCTATTTTTCCAATGATAATGCTCTACAAAATTTGGCAACTTGGTACGCGCGTTAATGCCGCGCCTTGGGCAAGTTTCCGGTAAATGAAAGAAAAGGTAAATTGCAATATTTGTCTACAACGTTTGAGAAAAGTCAGACCCATTTTTGGTTCAACTTTTCTCTCCAACCTTTGAGAGTAATTGCTAACTTGGTCCCTGTTTGCCCCAAAATTTTTAAAACTCATTTTTTTCCTCAACTTCATTTTTAACTACATATTTCATTAAATTCAAAACTTTTAAAATATTGAAATT